TAACACTAGGGGTTAGTCGAAGAAGATGAGGACAAAGAAGAACCTAGAATGACAACATCAAGAAGAAGTGAACATGGCTTAGCCGTGGTACCTTTATTCATGAAGCAGAAGACAGAGACAGATTTCGGAATTTATGTGCTAGTGCGTTTATCAATACACCTCCACGACCCCAACGTGTCACGGTTTATGTTATGTTATATTTGTTTGTGATTTCACCAGGCAGTTATATGTTCAGTAGTCTGCCATTGCTCTAGATACCAATGTCGAAACCACCCCAAGGCGGTCTGCTGCCAGATCCTCCACAGCTGCTGGGAACGAACTTAATACCCCCCTTAGCCACACAAGTTGAAATAAAAAGCGACTTCAGTTATTTATGTGTATGGGTTCTTGTGTCGAATTTGTTCAGAGGAGATGTGGGGGTAGGGGCGGGGGATGGGCCCGCCGACACCCCATAAAGCATGTCGTAAAAGTCGACTAATTAAAAGTGTTACCTTCAAGGTCAAAATCCATGTGTGTCGTATGGCAGTTTTGTCACGTACCTTTATTTCCGGATTGTTTACCTAAAAACCTCGGATACTTTGAGACTGGGTTATTCTTAATGTAGGCTCTCGTTTGTCTAGAAAAGTCCTCGGTTCAAACATACATTCAGCCTATCTTAGGGATGAGGCGACTCGAGTTCCGACTCCACAGAATTAATATGAATCTTTGGGTACAACTAGGCCTGACTTCAACAACTCTCTTTCGCCCCCAGACTCGAAAACAACGTTAACACAGTCGAGCGATTAGACAACAGTAGATCTGACGAGACATAGTTACAACTTCAGTAAGGATAAGCTATTAGATCAAGACAACTTTATCATAAAACAAGACACTTTTCAAATGAAGATAATAATGTATTGAGTATCAATAATAGTACAAGATAAGACGTAAATCAAACAGGAACAAACCCAAAGTTCAAAGTTTTTTTGAAGAATAAGAACTAGAAGACGGCTCTCCCTCTAGTGCCACTAACACGTCCACTTTCATCACGGCACGGAGAGCAGAGTGGGATTGTTAGGTACATTCCGGTTTCGGCTACAAAGATACTCCCTTGATATTACAGGACTTATCTGAGTGAAATCCAGAAACTCCTCTGTAGCATGAGAGCGTAGACCCCCACAGTACCTCAGTTCTCCAAGCACCACAGTAGATCGTAAGAATTCCCCACAGACAAGTGGAAAGATCAGCTAGTCGTCACAGAGACTCACGGGCGTCGACTTCATTAGACGATCAGCATGATATCAACATTGGTTGCTTCATGATTCCATCTACGACTAAAATCAGACGTCGAGTATGGTAATGTTTATAAGTTATGAAGTCTCAAGTTGTCCGTGACTCCTTCAATCCATCTTCTTCTTGGTCTTCCCCTGCCTCTTGTTGTTTCGATTTTCATATTGTATGCTCTTGATGCTGGCATCGTTGGTTCCATTCTCATTAGGTGACCAAACCATTTCATTCTTTGCTTCTCAATAAATTTAACGATGGGTATGGTTCCAATAGTTCTTGTAATCACATCGTTTCTCACTCGATCTCTTCTGGTTTTATTCGCAGCCATTCTCAAACATCTCATTTCACAGGTGGTTAGTCTTCTCTCATGTTCTCTGTAGCATGAGAGCGTAGACCCCCACAGTACCTCAGTTCTCCAAGCACCACAGTAGATCGTAAGAATTCCCCACAGACAAGTGGAAAGATCAGCTAGTCGTCACAGAGACTCACGGGCGTCGACTTCATTAGACGATCAGCATGATATCAACATTGGTTGCTTCATGATTCCATCTACGACTAAAATCAGACGTCGAGTATGGTAATGTTTATATTACCTCATAAAGTGGCTTAAAATGTGAGGAGGTGGCGTTGCAAATGGGCTGATTTCACAGGTCGACGATTGACTGGAAAGCTCGCCCAGTGCCTCGACACTAGTTGGATTTTCTGACATCATGTAATTCTTCTTCTTTTGTCAAAATCTGCTTGTGCCGCTAGGCGTCGCAGTCTATCAGACGATCGGCAACCGAGCCAGGGCGCGCTCAGTCGCTTCATATGCCGTGATGTTATGAAGTCTCAAGTTGTCCGTGACTCCTTCAATCCATCTTCTTCTTGGTCTTCCCCTGCCTCTTGTTGTTTCGATTTTCATATTGTATGCTCTTGATGCTGGCATCGTTGGTTCCATTCTCATTAGGTGACCAAACCATTTCATTCTTTGCTTCTCAATAAATTTAACGATGGGTATGGTTCCAATAGTTCTTGTAATCACATCGTTTCTCACTCGATCTCTTCTGGTTTTATTCGCAGCCATTCTCAAACATCTCATTTCACAGGTGGTTAGTCTTCTCTCATGTTCTTTTGTTAATGTCCAAGTCTGACATTGATAACCTAATGTCGGTATAAAGATTGTATTTATAATTTGTCTTTTTATCTCAGCTGGGACAGCAGGGTGTTTTAAAATTGGGGCAAGCTGGTATGCGACATTGTTGGCTTGTTGGATTCTAACATGTAATTAACAGGGCAATATACATGAGCCATCCTCACTCAATATACCTCGCCAATCACACATCTCTCGCTCTCTATAAATGCTCAGAGGTAATTGTAGGGCTAGTTTTCACCATTAGGGTGACTTTGTCCCTCGAGAGCCTTTACATCTCTCTAGATAGAGCGCAAGCGTTAGTCGGACATTTCTACTGATTCAACCAGTCCCCGAACCTGTTCCTCAACGAAAGCAAGTTAGACACCTATCTGTCTCTATACCTACAGATCTTTACGTTACCATTTAGAAAATAAAGCAGATAAGATAGATAGTTGAGGCATAATTGGAGGACAGTCGCCTCGAACTTTTCCATGCTCAAGATTTGTTTTGATTAATTCTCTCCTAGCAACAGGGGAAGTGACGTCATGTCTCACCAACATAGCGCCGCCTATTCTTCTTATCGTTATCAGACCTATCAAGTTAGGAGTCAAATTAAACGATTTTTTCGGATAATACAAGTTTATCCAGACTTCAATTACACTCCAAGTGGATTTATCGATCTGAATAGGTCTAGAACGTACGCAAGAAAAATTTAGGAAGAAATACATTCCAAAAGTGCATTCACTCTTCCGACACCCTGGCCTCATGTCTAAAGCGATCGTGAATAGAAAGATTCGGTGTTCTCATTCTTTTTTACTTTTCTCGCAAACACACACAGCAGTTGAGCTCTGACATATATATCCTCCTTTATGACAAACTCACCCATGCTGATGAAAAATATCTGGCAGAACAGACTTTCATCAAATACGGTCAAATTGCCACAGCTCCGATACGCATCTGAACATTTGAGCAGCATGAACAAAAGTTAGTTAGTCTTTCCTCTTGTGTCGAGTGCGGCACATAGGGCAGAGGTCATGACTCTCCATGCATGGCGGTTCGTTGCAATCTGTTGTAGGTCTTGGATGTTTGAGTGGCCCATGAGCGAGCCTTCCCTGATGATAGTTCTACGTAGGGTTTCCCTTAGTAACCAATTTTAAAGATGTCCTTTGAATTTAACAGATTAGAACGAATCATCGTGCAGTTAGAGTCAGAAATCTGATTCTATAACAATTGGTGGTTTTGCGATGACAGCTTGTCGGACCGTCGATCAACCGATATGCGCCGAGCTAGAGAGAAACACGTCCCGCCATCTTGACACAAACCGGATACGCATCTGAACATTTGAGCAGCATGAACAAAAGTGACGTTGAGAATATAAGTCCCTAACTACAACCGTTGGGAAATAATATGGCTCAAGCTTAGTAGTCAAGCGGTTAAAACAGTAAGCTTCAAAAGACACGGAAAACGTGTCGTATCATATACACTGACACTATTCGTCAAGAATGATTAAATTAGCAGTGACCTGCATATATTCCAACATCTGGACTCCCAAATAGCGTAAGAACTATTTGCACACGGACGGACCACTCGAAATAAAAATAAATTCATGAACATGGTGGTGTCCAAAATGTGCAAGTCTACTGTGGCAGGTGAGTTGATGCTATTACGTGACAATCTGTGTGAGAGGCAAGGAATCAACAGCGTGCGTTAAAAAACGGAGCATCTATCGAAGGTGTATCTATGTCAACGCAAAACTCAAGTTCTAGAATAAGACCAAAATCCAGTAGTGGATGAACAACCAGCACTTTCTGTCGGAGCTTATAGCCGATAAATGCTATAAAGAAGAAGAAAGAGATTCAACAGTTGAATGAGTAAAAAAAAAACTTTTTCCACGCCCTTAGATCTATTTGGCATGTAGAGCGAGAGAGATATTTTATGGACAAATTGGCCCTAGGTAGTTAATGTGGTCATCATGACACCGACAGCCTTTACTTCCAGGACTTTACCTGGTACTGATTAAAGCAGGGTCGATCTAAGGACCCCCCCCCCCCCAACCCCCCGAAAAAAAGGCCTGGCTCTTCTGGGACCTGAACCCACAACTTTAAGATATGCCAACAATCGTCTAGCTCCTATACCAGTAACATATTAATTACCTCAAATTCTTCCACATTGATGCCTCGCGCAATATGAGCCACGGCCATCTTCTCAACCAGGCCCATGAATTTTTCTGTGTCCTGGATGTTCTCAACATAAGAGTTGAGGAAGTAGAAGACGCTGGCGGCATGCACTTTTATCTTCGGACTGGTCCTCAGCTCAGAAAGTTGTTTGTTTTTGAAAATGCCAAAGTAATTCTGAATATGTGGGTACGCTGCAAAGAGCCTGCAACATTCATTATAATTGCTTGAATTACAAGGGGAAGTCAATAAGTAAGTCACATATGGTTATTTAAAAAAAAAAAACTAATAAAGATAATAACTTTAAAACGTTACTTTTTTTTATTTAACACACACATTGTCCCTTTATTTTTCAACATAATTTCCACCAACATTGATGCACTTGTCCCGTCGTTTTCTCTGTCCTGCCAAACGTGCTGCATAGAACTGGATGCTCTCTTTTCTAAACCACATTTTCACTTCACACTCAATGTCTGCGTCATTCGCGAAATGTCTCCCGCTAAGGTCGGCCTTAAGTGCACAGCTTTAAACAATAAACATTTGTCACCATAAACAGGAAATACTTCCTTATGAATGTTCTTTACAGGCAGTTTTTTTTTTTTTTTTTTTTTTTTTTTTGGGCCCCTCCCCCCCCCCCTGCCCTCGAAAAAAGCACAATAGCACGTTATTCTTTGAGGGTACACTCCGTATGTGCAGTAGCCATTTTAGTTTCTGTGTTGCGAATGCGCATGCAACACCTAGCGTAGCCTAACAAACGGAGACATAAAGTTCGATGTAGCTGTCACCTAATGACACCTCTGCAAAACACCAGGTATATTTTTTTCTGCAACACATAACCATTTGTGATTTCCTCATTGACTTATATATATATATATATATATATATATATATATATATATATATATATATATATATATATATATATATATATATATATATATATATATGTATGTATGTATGTATGTATGTATGTATGTATTAGTTAGTTAGTTAGTTAGTTAGTTAGTTGGGTTATCATCATTGCACTCCGGACATGTCCATAGGTGCTCAGATCCTCCCCTCAGTATGAATCCCAACGTCCGATGGCTAATAGTACCAGTTCTATGTTGATTAACAAATCTTCTGACGTGTCCGGTGTGCGTCTCGTTTTTTGCTGTGCCGATCTTAATTCCCAAGTCTGCCATTCTGGCGAGTGATGTGGATTCACTGCCACCAAAGTCCTCTATCCTTCCCATTTCTCTGAGGGCATTGATAATATCAGCATGATCCATAGGCCGACCGTCGGTAGTGATAGCGGATCCAGCCAGCCTGTCAGCTCTTTCATTTCCATCGACGCCTGCGTGTCCCGGAACAAAAATAAAGGTGACTCCTCGCACAGTGGACTTCTGAATTGATTCAAGCCATTGTCTTCGCGCTGAACCTGCCTGAACCCTCCGGATCATACTCATTGAATCACTGAGTATACATATGCGGGTGTATTTTTGTGTTTCAAGCCAGGCAAACGCTTGCGTCACTGCCATCACCTCCATCGTCATGCTGCTGGTTGTCATGGAGAAGGCGCCGTTGGCTTCTTTGACTGTTCTGCCCGCTGAGCGTGCTGTAAATGCCCATGCGCTTCTTCTTTGGCGTATAACGGATCCGTCTGTATAGATTAGTGCATCTGCTTCGTCTGAATTTTCACCGATGAGAGCGTTGACCTCTGCATTAACAGCAACAGGATTCTCTTCTCTACATCGCCTGTTGAGTGTGACAATACAGGAAAATGTACAAATAAACGCCTGAGGCACAGGTATCCATTCTGCACCAGGTATGATGTCGGTTAGGCTGCATATTTGCCTAATAACATCTTCTGCCCGACCTAGCCATGATTTTCCCCTCTTCAGTCTGTCGCCTTTTTCACTAAAAAGTGCTTGATGCAGTGGGTGTTTCTTATCAGCACATATTTTGAGGTATGCCCGAGCCCTCCACATCCTGATCCTTTGGTTCATTGTTGGAAAGTCAAGTAGATACCTCATTGCTCCACAGGATGTGTCTCTTGTACATCCCAAAATAATACGCATGGCTTCATTTTGCACCTTCTCGAGGCGTTCAATCTGGGAAGCACTGACAGTGAGGATGGCCAGAGCGTATTCAATGGGGGAAAGGACCAGACCGTAGAATAGAAGCACCAGCAGTCTTTGCTCGATATTGGAAGCAGCCATAATCCTCATTGCAGATAGACCTTTGCGTGCTTTTGTTATCGCATGGTCAACGTGTTCCCTGAATGACAAGCTGCGATCGAACCTCACCCCGAGAAACGTCATAACGTTGGTTCTGATCAATACATTATCACGCATTTTCACTTCTGGTAAGTCCGACTTGACAAGGTGATTGTTCAAAGAGAACCATGACACTGCTGCCTTCGAGGGATTGACATAGGCATTGGAACCATCACACCAGGCGGCAATTCGATCGAGTTCTTTGTGCATTGTGCTGGCGATCTCCTGTCTATCACGCCCTCGTCGATAAATCAAAATGTCATCAGCAAATGACAAAGTCCTTCCCTTTCCATTCAACTGCTGCTCAGTGATCATCACCGTATAAACGTTGAATAAGACTGGTGATAGCGGTGATCCCTGTGGCAAGTCTGGACATATCGTTTGCGGTTCTGAGGACCAGCTACCACATCTTAGTGCAATCTTTCTCTGGAACAGGACCGCAGCAATCCAGCGGATCAGAATAGGATTGACTTCTAGTTTAAGCAGTAATTGCATTAAATAATCATATGGTACTTTATTGTAGGCATCTTCTAAGTCCAACACTGCCGCACATGTCTCTTCTTTAATCTGAAATCCTTCGTACACATCGTAGGCGAAAACAGCAGCATTGGACCATGTCTCTTTCTTCAATCTGTACCCTCCAAGTGTTGATGGGAACTTATCATGTAGTTCTAAGTAGGTGGTCAATCTTTGTGCGACAATTTTTTCCAAAAGTTTGCCAACAGTATTCTGCATCGAGATGATTCTGTAGCCGCAGATCTTTGAGTGGTCTTTATTAGGCTTTGGTAGTGGAAACAAATAACTATGGAGCCATTCCTCTTGTATCTGGCCACTCTGGATGCTGATATTGAATTCCTTTGCCACGCTTTTCAAATCAGCATTCGACATCATCAGCATGTCATTGTATCGGATGTATGTATGTATGTATGTATGTATGTATGTATGTATGTATGTATGTATGTATGTATGTATGTATGTATGTATGTATGTATGTATGTATGTATGTATGTATGTATGTATGTATGTATGTATGTATGTATGTATGTATGTATGTATGTATGTATGTATGTATGTATGTATGTATGTATGTATGTATGTATGTATGTATGTATGTATGTATGTATGTATGTATGTATGTATGTATGTATGTATGTATGTATGTATGTATGTATGTATGTATGTATGTATATATATATATATATATATATATATATATATATATATATATATATATATATATATATATATATATATATATATATATATATATATATATATATATATATACACACACACAATCAGGTGACGTTTTTTTTTTAATCTAGGGATGAGCGATGCAAAGTTATGAGGATGTCACAACACATCGGTTTCTTTTTATTACCAGGCTCATGCAGGTGCAAGAGGAAACTAACTAGCTGATAAGCTTGATGGCTATGTTACAGTGGAAAGCAATCTTTCAATAGACGGATTTAAGATGTGTAATAGATTTAACAATACAAAATCATGAAATCAGACGAATGCTAGGAATAAAGCCAGTCTTACGGGTCATCAAAGAACAACAAATGAAATGGTTTGGACACCTAACAAGAATGCCCTGGTACTATCTGCCACAGCGAGCCACACTAAAACGTTACAACGGGTATAAAGCGAGTGGAAGACCTCGGAAAATATGGAGTGATGGCATTAAGAACAGCCTTACAAAAATGAACATCAGTCTTAATAGTGCTCTTGACAGAGCTCATCAACGAACATTACATCTCCCCCCGACACTTCGATGAGGTACAAGGTGGAAGAGAAGAAGAAGAAGAAGAAGAATATATTTAACATCAGAAGGAGACAGTCATAATTTTTCGGCCATGTTATGACCACTGAAAAGATCTGTGGAAGGAGGGATAGAGGAAGACAACGAGAGAAGATGCTTGACAGTTTTGTTGCATGGCATGGAGGTGTGTCGGCACACGAACTGATACATGCTGCAGGAGATCGCAGATTATGGAGAGGCATGGTCGCCCACGCCAGTCGGCAAGACACCTGATGATGATGAATATATTTAAAAAAGACGGTGCTATAAGTGATTCAATTGTTAACTGTGAATCGTAAAGCAGACCTTAAATGCTATAGACGCAGAGCCTCTCTTGCAAGTGCCAGCTTGGTTCAGGCGCGGGGTGAGACACGATTTGATTGCAATGACTGTCTATTAGCAACATCAAAAGGAAAGGAAAGGGGGAGGGGGGTGGGGTGTCGAAGGAGTTATTTATTTTAACGCCCTTAGGTATTTTGGCCATATAGGGCTATACCTATATTTAATAGACCTAACAGTACTCGGTGAGTAATGTGGTCAAAACCATATCGGCCGCCTTAACTTCCCACGGCTTTATCTGGTGCCCATTTGAGGCTGGGTTGCCTTCCATTCCCATCCCCTTTGCAATGTTTTCTTTGAACAATCCATATTCAAATAGTTCAATGAAAGTTGATAATGATTTCTTAGTAATATCATCATGACATCAAAAAACAACGATAACACGGTTCCTCACATCATAAAGAACTCCACGGCGTTCTGTTTGATGGCGTTCCTGTTCCCTATAATTTTCCAACTGTCCACAATCATATCCCGGTCCTTCTGCGTCAGTCCTGTGATGGGATCAGGAGTGGGGTCATACACTTTCGGCCGCGCCGGTTTCTTGGAGCAGCCGCAGCCCATGCTTGTCACCTGGAGATGTAGGGTTCCAGCTAGAGTGTGATCTGTCCGTTCTCGCGTGCTAGCAGAGGCTGTCAGTCCGTAGCTTCTTCCTGAAAACAAGCAGGCATGTCTGAGCGTGCATGTAGGCCGTCAGTAAGATTATCATCACCTGTGTGGGTTATGGGGCCTTTTTATAGTGAAAACAAGAATAGACCCCCTGCCTAACCAAAAGCATGTCGTTAAGAGTTGACTAATTGGGAGCTTCCTTCAAAGTCGGAGCGCATTTGCCTGACAGGCAAGAAACCAACAGTCTGCATAAAAATTAGTCTGATCTGTCAAACGGATGCACACGCAGCACTTAACTTCTGGAACAGGACTGCAGTCCAGAAGTAGAAAAACAACCAGAACATTCCACTAAAGTTTACAGCTTGTGAAAGCGGAGAAGAAGAAAAAAAAGAAGAAGAAGAAGAAGAAGAAGAAGAAGAAGAAGAAGAAGAAGAAGAAGAAGAAGAAGAAGAAGAAGAAGAAGAAGAAGAAGAAGAAGAAGAAGAAGAAGAAGAAGAAGAAGAAGAAGAAGAAGAAAAAGAAGAAGAAGAAGAAGAAGAAAAAGAAGAAGAAGAAGAAGAAGAAGAAGAATAAGAATAAGAAGAAGAAGAAGAAGAAGAAAGAAGAAGAAGAAGAAGAAGAAGAAGAAGAAGAAGAAGAAGAAGAAGAAGAAGAAGAAAAAGAACAAGAAGAAGAAAAAGAACAAGAATAACAATAGAAACAAGAAGAACAAGAAGTGTTTTATCAGCCTAAACAACGGAAATGGGGGAGTTTTCAGGAAAGTGCAATATTCTAGGGATTGTATGGGCTGGGGTTAGGCTTTTCGGTGTCTTTGAAGCAGTCGGGGCTGACAAAGTTCCTAAACCTAACCCCAGCCCCTAACACCCTTGGAATATTGGAATTTCCCGAAAACTCCAGAATTTCCTGTGTTTGGATTGAATTGAAAATAAAGAACCGAAACAGGCTGGTGAACATCAATCTCTCCCTCCCCCCCCCCCCCCCACCCCATACTCCTGCCCTCTTCCCTTACAACACAGACATTGCTGCTTATATGGTGCTCTCTGTGGTGCCCTTACCCGCCTGCAATCGATGCACTAATTCAATATCACTTTGCCTTTATGCCAGATCATTATCCTTCTTCTTCTTCTTCACTTCCTCTTTTACCGCTGTAGGTGTCGAGGGAGATATAAGGTTCTGTTTTTAGGTCTTCTGGCTGCCTCGACCATAGGCACATCGTGCTGTTGTAGAGTTTCTCTGATGTTATCCTTCCATCTTGTTCTTGGTCTACCCCGTGCTCTACGTCCTTCTTCTCTTTCCATGTATGCTTTGTATGGTATGGTGTCACAAGGCATTCTCTCTAAGTGGGCAAACCATTTCACTTGCTGTCTTTGTATGTAATCCAGAATTGGTTTTGTGCCGACTTGTTCTCTTATGATCTCATTCCTGATCTTACCTCTTATGGTCACTCCTGCAGCCCTTCTCAGACATCTCATTTCCGTGGTTACTAATTTTCTTTTATGGTTTGTTGTGAGTGACCATGTCTGGCACTGGTAGCACAGAGTTGGAATAAATATGCTTTGAATAAGATGTCTCTTTGTGCTGATTGGGATTGTCTAATGCTATAAGAGGGCGGCTAGCTGTCCCAATACTTGGTTTGCTTTTTACTGCATCTAATTTCAATTTCTTTATCCAATTTCCCATCTTCGGTAAATGTAGTTTCAGATATTTAAACTCAGGTGCCTGTTTAATGCCTTTGTATTCTATTGCTATGTTTAGATCTGTCTTCTTTTTTCCTATTGACATTACTTCTGTCTATTCAGTGTTGATTCTCATATTATTTGTTTTACATTCTTCATTCATGGATGTTAGATGTTGTTGCAATTTCATGGCTGTATCTGCTATCAAGGCCTGGTCATCTGCCAAGAATAATTCGTTGATCTTACTAAGATCTTCATTCATGGGCTTGGCATTCTCGCATATACTGTCGATGTAGGTGATAAACAGCAGTTGTGATAAGACACACCCCTGTCTTACTCCAGATGTCACTGTGAAAGGATGAGATGTTCCCTGATTTATTCTAACTACACTTCTACAATCCCTGTATAAACTTTTGCACACTTCGATGAGGTGTTCGCTTACTCCATATCTTGCCATTATTTTCCATAATAATTGTCTGTCGACTCTGTCAAATGCCTTCTCCTGGTCTACGAATGCCACAAATAAGTTCTTATTGTATTCAATGTTCTTTTCTATTAACTGTTTAAGTGTGAAGATTGCATCTGTGCAGCTTCTATTTCTCCTAAATCCCATCTGTTCTTCTGCCAGCTGTGGTTCTATCACTGGTCTCAGTCTTGTTTCTATTATCTTGGCATACATTTTGCCAACATGGCTTAAAAGAGAGATGCCTCGATATTGACCGCATTCTCGTTTGCTTCCTTTGTTCTTCCACAATGGTATAACTATTGCATGTTGCCAATCAAAAGGGGCCGTTTGTTGTACCCATGCTGCATTGAATATTATGTGAAGCCATTTGATGCTGCTTTTACCTGCTGCTTGAATTATTTCTGTTGGTAATCTATCAATCAGCTCCTGGTGCTTTATATTTGGGAGACTGTTTAATGACTTTTTCTATTTCATCCATTAGTATGTGTGGTTCTAACACTGTTGCTCTGTGCTCTTCAGTTGTTCTTTCCTGATGATCTCCTAGAGGATTAAAGAGCTCATTGAAGTATTCCCTCCATCTTTCTGATATCTCAGGTGGATCTATCAATGGCCTTCCTGTCTTATCATTTATTATTTCAGTGGGGTTGTAGCTCTCATCTCTTTTCCGCACATTTTTAACTACGTTGAAAAATTTTCTGCTGGCTGTTTTCTCATTTTCTGCTAGTGATTTAGTTAAACGTTTGTCTCCCCAAACAACTAGGTCACATTCCATTGATAACTTTTTTGGGATTGGTCTGCTGTCAGAAAAAAAAAAAGGGGGGGGGGGGTTTACGAGTGTGCTGCTGTGTAGTTTGCTTTCTGGCTTGTCTTGCATTTACGTTTTTCTTTCGAGAAAGAGAATGCCTGAGACATAGGTTACTGCACTCTCTACGGGGTTGTGTGTTATGCCTAGTTTCTAGTTTTTCTAGTGTTAAAAGCGCTGGCGTGCTTAGATATACAACACGCGATATTAACGAGATTGCCGAACACCCCCGTAATCCTGTGCAGAGATTTGGTGGCTCAAGGTCGATCAATCAGAAGTGAGCAAGCGTGTTTATGGGTGGTCTCTGGGGGAGCTTTGGTGGCACTAACCCATTATCAGATATTACGTCTTGAGAACGTGTTACGTTATCATAATTTACTTCACTGCACACAGGGCATTCCCATACATGCTCAGTCCTCTGATGCAGCAGTCACTGCGAGGTACTACAACTGGCTGCTCTCACAAACATAACTACACAAGCTACACCTCATTTCTGTGATAACCGGCCACCTGTCCTTTCCTGCTCATGCAGTTTAAAAACACATTTCCGCGAGCACAGACAATAAACCTTCCCCGTGAAATCAATAGCTCACAGTGTCGTACCACACAATAGACTCATTAGCTGACGGATGGAACCGGATTTCGCCTTTACCTCGTATTTCGTCCTATCCCTATCATAGGAAGACCCAGGTTCGAATCCTAGGAATGGTAACTGATTTTTAATCCAGTCGGGGGCCAAATTATCAAGACAGTCCTTGCTAATAACACTAGCCATGCGGCTCTAAGAAGCCCCCCCCCCCGCCCCCCCCCCGCCCCCCCCCGCCCCCCCCCTCGCCGCCCTTTCTTGTCTATACCGCGAAAGTGGAGAGAACAGACAGTGATAGTGCCTTGGAGACTAAATGACTAGTCTGACACGTTCCACAGCGTGAAGGGTGATGTTCAACCACACAAGGACCACACAACCAGTCATAAACACCCGGCGACACAAAGGGCCACCATTCTCAGGACAATCACCCGGATACAAGTCCCAGAAACCCTGTTTTAACTGTTAAATTAGGGCCCCCCCCCCCCCCCCCCCCCTGAGACAGACGTTGTGGAGCTTTTAGAGTGTTTGGACTGAGCTAAAAATAAAGAACTGAAAGCGGATGGTGAATATCAACCCCCCCCCCTTCCCCCCCCCCCACAACGCCCCCCTCACCTAAGAACACAGACATGCCTGCATATATGGTGCTCTCTGTGGTGCCATTACCCGCCTGTAGTCGATGGGCACCAAGTCAATATTACTCCGCGTTTACGTCAGATCATTTTCAAGTAACGTCGAGACAGCAGAGGTGGGTCTTCAAAATAACAACACATTACGTACTTTCTTGGGGCGAGGGTAGGGTAACTAGCTGAGCACCAAATAAAAAAACACTGATTATCAGCGAATTGGTGGGCCCATCAGAGAGGCAAACAGTGGGGAATAAAGAGTGAGTAAAACAACGAAAATTACATTCTTTTTCAAATCAGTACTCATCATTGGCAAGGTGGGACTAACAAATGCAATGGCGGGAGCATTTGAAGAAAATAAAAACCTTTCCAATATCAGAGGCAATTTTCCGATACATCGGATGCAGTCGAGGGCCTTAATATAACCTAACGGTTAAACAGGTTTTCTGGGATTCTGGCTGAATGATCCTTATCCGAATGGTAGCACGTTGGGTTACCAGGGGTTGAACGGCACAGGCATATGGAGAAAATGGCAGGTAACAGAGAGGCTGAATCTGTAAATACAAAAATGTTGAATGGGACAGACCAATAAAACGGTGGGAGAGTTAAGGTTATTGCAGACCTAAAGACACATCGGGGCACCAACTAGACAGAGAAGCCACTGCATAAATAAATGGAGGGGGATGATATGTGCAGTAATGAACCGCAAAGGCTCCAAATGCTCAAGAACAAGGTAAACACACGAACAGAAGCATCTGTAGAGCTCGATGAATCAGATTTTGTAATCTAGCCTCAGTCTATA